TTGCCCGACCTGAGGACCTGTCTGCTCGCGTCATGGCCCACCAGGTGTGCTTTGAGCAGGAGACCTGGGCCCCTTCCTCGGCCGCTCACCCCTCTTTCTCCAGGCATCAAAGGGCCATCCCAGGCACCTACCTGGTCTCCCAACCCTCTCTGAACCGCACGACTCAGAACCCTCTGCAGAGGCCATTCCAGAAGTTCGGAGCCTGCTCACCTGGCGTCTTATTGCATAAAACACACGAGGGCGCCAATCAAGATACTTCAAGAGCTCATGGCGCAGTGCATTCCAGAGCAATACCGTCCTCTTCCCCATCGCCAGTGCCTGCTGGATGAGACCTGATGCCACCGGAGCCCACACAGGGGCAGCCATGCCAGGCCCTCCCAGACCGCCCGGGCCATGATGGCCCAGGGACCCCCTCAAGAAAATTGCCTCTGGCCCACAGCCCCAGCTGGAGAAGCTGCTTCCTGATACCCTGACCCCAATTCTCAGCCACTTGGCCTCCATCTATTCCCCCAAGCAAGCGTCCACCCTGACCCTCCCCCATAACTTCAGTTCTCAGTACGGTGGGCAGCTTGATGACCGGATCCAGATGGGTTACATGTCAGGGGTGGGCTGGGTGATGTCAACCTCTCCACCCAGCCCCAAGCTCTGAGAGTTGGGTGAAGGAAGAGGCTCCCACCTGGACCAGGTGACAAGAGGGGGTGTCATCGGGGACCATTGCCCCAGGCTCAGGTGCCTTGGAGGCCCAGACCATGGGGCTACAGAAGACAGAGCTCAGCCCCTCAAGGCAAGGCCCACAAGTCTGTGTCCCTGGTGGGAGCACAAGGAGCCAGATGACAGAAACACCTGCCACTCCTCACCCATCAGCTGCTGCTCCCCACTCCAGGCACCCAGCCCTTGCCCACCGCTGGCCAAGCTCACATGTGGATTGGCCCTGGCCTATCTGGCATCATTTTCACATTCTGGGCCCCGGCTTACAAGCCTTGTCTGCGAGGGGTCAGGCTCAGGGGAGGTTCTTGGTCCATCGCCATGGGCTGGAGTCTCAGAAGTCGTGTGGATGGGAGAGCGCTGTCTCACCAGAGTCACCATGATCCAAGGAGAGCTCAGCCCACAGCACCACCCGGGGGAGTCAGGACCAAGACCACCGAAACGAGCCTGCTCAGGGCCTGCAGCACTTCTCCCGCACTTGGTTCCAGGAAGGCCCTGATCTTTACCCAAGTCCTCAGGCTGGGACACAGGTGGCAGTGATGTCCCTGCCCTAGCTTGGAGCTGCCCGGAGAGGAGGTGGTGGTGGAGGGAGTCAGAGGGAGGACTTGGACCGCTTTTGGCCACATCTGGACAACAGAGCATCTAGACCACCATGCTTACACACAGGACACCTCCATGTGAATTAGAAGAGGCACCACTCACCTGGCAGGAGGCAATGGGACCTTCCAGATGCTTCTATGGCAGGAAATGTGGCTGACTCCCAGCCTTGAAGGCTGCCCATGGCTGCAGGCATCCATCACCCTCTCCTTCCCCTTGCAGACATGGACGAATGTCTGGACCCCAGAATCTGTAAAAGCCACAAGTGTGTCAACACCCACGGCAGCTACACCTGCACGTGCCCACCAGGATTTGAGCTCAACCCAGAGGACCCGAAGCTGTGCACAGGTAGAGGCCCCGGGAGGACGCTGTGAGGATGGACTGGATGGAGCTGGGGAAGGAGCCGACGCAGGCCCCGCAGCCCCAGGAGGCAGGAGAAGATTCTCAGGTTCCCTGCCAAGGCCCTGCCTAAGGATTCGCCTCCCTGAAAAGTCCTGCCACAGAGCAGGGTGGTGGCAGGGCCTTCTGGGCCTGGGGTTTCCTTGTGGAGCTCCTGTGAGCACCCCCAACCCTTCCCTTTCCTCATCTGTCACATGCAGCAGGGGGAGGTGTGACTTCTGGTTCCCAGAAGGGAACAGGGCCAGGGCCCAGGAGGGTGTAAGCAGGAGTCCTTGGTCAAGAAACCTAGCCCCTGTGACTCAGTTTCCCTCCTGGATTTGCCACCTATAAACTGGAGACTATGGTCCCTGTCGTGTCCATCTTGTCAGTAGGCCACTGTAATGTGCTTTGAGGGTGAAGTTGAAGATCACCAGGTGGTGGCATGTGTACTGATAGAGGGATCCTCAGGCAATGAGAAGTGGGTGCGGGGAGGGCCTGACGCTCTGGCTTTGTCCTCAGATGTGAATGAATGTACCTCAGGGCAAAAACCCTGCCACAAAACCACCCACTGCCTCAACAATGTGGACAGCTATGAGTGCCGCTGCTGCCCTCGCTGGCGATTTTCAGAGAGGAAGGGAGGCGAGAGAGATAGAAGCATCAATGATGAGAGAGAATCCTGGATTGGCTGCCTCCTGCACACCCCCTACTGGGGATCGAGTCCACAACCCGAGCATGTGCCCTTGACCGGAATTGAACCTGGGACCCTTCAGTCCGCAGAACGACGTTCTATCCACTGAACCAAACCGGCCAGGGCTCGGATTCTGTTCTAATAAGGGCAAGAGTGCAGCTCTGGGCGCATCGGTGCTACAGCCCACAGCCTCAGCGCATGGTAGCTATCAGTGCGGCAGCTTCCCTGGTTAGAAGTCCCCCAGTCCATCCTGCCCTACAGGTGGGGGCACAGCTTTGGGATGACACTGGCACACACACAGTCCTGCCCTGTCCGCCTTGCAGGGGCGCTCTGAGCTTATGATGCTTTTACAGTGGAAAATGTCACCACAAGTTTGTATCCTGTCAGTCTAGGTAGCTATTAAGCGGGGCATAGTGGGGTGTCCTCGGGGTGAACTGCTAAGGGATTTGAGAGAAGGGGCAGGAAGGATGCGAGCAAGGAGTAGAGGGAGGGCCTGACGCTCTGGCTTTGTCCTCAGATGTGAATGAATGTACCTCGGGAAAACATTCCTGCCACAAATCCACCCAATGCCACAACACCAAGGGCAGCTATGAGTGCCGCTGCAGGTCTGGCTGGAAGCCGGTTCCTGGGTCACCCAATGGCCCAAA